GTCGCGCACGTCGCATGACCTTTTTGATATTACTAAGGTCCACTTACGTTACTAAGATCCAAAGTAAACCGTAAATGACAGTTTTTATTCTAATTTTATCACATATGTATTATAACGGTTTTATTTCTCTTTATCTTAAAGAGAAACCTGTTCAAAAATTAATAATTATAAATAAATGTTGAATATTTTTATTAAGTATTAACTTTTTTTACTATTAGTTCGTTCAAATAATTTTTAAAAAGTAAATTAATTTTTTATACATTTCAAAATACTAAACAATTTAAACTATTTAAATTATCAGTCGAGTGTATAGATGGACACATGCGGACATCTTTCCTTCTCTCACTTTCAGACATTCTCTCTTTCACTCTCTACTTTTTTTAATCCACTTATATATAATTTATATTATATATAATTACTAATCCGAATAAATGCAAATCTAAAATAATTTTAAGAGTTTCCTGTCGTGCCATAAAATTAAAAGCGCTTACTGTGATAATAGTATTGAGATTTAAAAGTTATGAAATTAAAACATTAATTTCAAATGTTGCATAAGACAATTTATTAACTCTTCGTTAATTCTGAGTCATCTTATATATTGCCATTCCGGCATCAATTGATATTCTTTCGAGGCGATTGATTTTTTTATTTTTTTTTTTTTTTAGTATTTTTGCGTTGCATCGGCGTAATTACTTAACCGGCAATAAGCTGATCAGCTGCCGGTATTTCCAATCCTCGATTGAACGCGCGTGGATAAATGATGACACGTCCATTCAATAGCGCGATTAAAGTATCTCTACACGGCGTTAGCGCGTATGCTGTACAACTAAATATTTTTTCTATACAGAACGAACAATGTACGTATTATAGATACGAACGCAAATTCAATCGTTTTATAGAACTTTATAATAAATATCCCTTTTTATAGAAAAATAGAATCATGTAATTATTTCATAAGAATATGTATTTCTCCGCTTTTAGCTCAAGCTTATTAGCAAATATAGCTTTGATCATGCTTTAATTATTTATATTTCACATAATTCGATTTATAGTTTCTAATGCGCCGTTCGAGCTCGCAGACTTCGTGCCGTTGATGTACGCAACAATCATCTATACGCTGGTAAGTCAATTACAAACGTAGTCGGTAACTAACCTAGTCGATAACCCAGCTCACAGGGTAAAACGCTGGCATAGGAAATAATAAACTTATCTTATAATATATGTATGTATATATATACAGAGTCTAGGTTAAAAGTCTGGATACAGTCGAATATCTTGCAAAGCATTTTAGAAAAAAAATTTTATTGGACCCTCATTTTTTTATTGCATATTCTTGTAGCTCTTATCAAGACGTATTCAAAACACTGTAATAAAGTTCACTTTTTCGTTTAGAATTTTCTGAGATATTTTAAATTTTATCATACTTTTAATATAAAATATGAAATATCTCGTAAAGTATTCACTTTTCTATAACTTTACCTTGATACTTTTATACACAGAGAAATGAAAAGAATCAAATGTTGTAAAAAAAAAATAATTATAATTATTAAAAAAAAATTTATTGCATCTTGTAGACGCATTCAATTTTACAAAATTGCAAATGTAAAAGTTAATGTTATTATGCGATTTCTTTCATCATTGATCTATATATATATATATATTGTAACAAATTTATTTCTTTTCATCTTAAAGAGAAAACTGAGAGAAATAACAAAATTATAAATAAATGTGCATGAATACTTCGTTTTTATTAGGCATTAACTTTATTTACTACAACCTAGACCGCTAGATAATTATTAAAAAGTAAATGGTGCCTTATATATATGTATATCCCAAATGCTAAACTATTTAAAATATTAATTAATTACAGGCCTGTATTCATAGTCGGATCTTATTTCAAGACCGTCTTAATGTCTTAAGATGCTAATACAGCTCTGTGATTGATTCGTTTTACATCTATAAGATTGTACTTAAGACGGTCTTAAATTTAAACGACTATGAAGACTGGTCATAGTATCGAATATATAGACGGATACCCGCGGACATCTTTCCTTCCATTGGTTATAACCAATAATCGCTAATATTACAGTGTGTAAGATGTAACTCTTGCAGTTTTGGACAGTGTTTCAAAATAACGGAATACTTCTCAGGTGTATCAATTTTCACACAAAAAACTAGCAACCGTTTTAAGTTCTTACACTGCGTTAGTACTTTCAAGTGGTGATCAGTGAGGACAATACGGCCGAAAGAATCTTCTTTCAGGCGTTGACAAAAATAGAGTAATCTGTATACAAGCTATCATTATGTGTAATTGGATCATATTTCGTGAATCTCTAACAAAAATCATAAAATTATTATAGCACTTTTCAAGATGCTCGAAATACATGAGAAGCAAACACAAATTTTGATAAAGTAAAAACAAAATTAAAGTTAAGGTACTGTTTAAAAATAAAAATTAAATTTTAACAACATATATGTATATCACTATAAAATAATTAAATATTTTATACAAAAACAGTTTTTAACTTTTTTAAAATTTTTTTTTCAACAGAGAAATGTTTTTTTTTTAAATCTGAAATATCGCAAGCACGTGTGTTTAATACGTGTTCTTTTATCACCACGTGAGTGGTGGTTCGCTATACTTACACTTAACTCTCTGAGTGACTGAGATTTTTCAGAATGTATTTTTTATCTTATATTTAACGTATCTTTTATCTCATTTTTTGATACATGTAATAGCGACTAACAATAAAAGTCGAACAAAAGAATACAGCGAATAAAAAAAATTATCGGAAAGACCCTAAATTAACTAAAATAATTAATCAGAAAAACTAAATTTCTATCAATTTTTATACTCACAGTTTATCAGCGAAACAGGTTTAATTTTTTTTTTCGTATAAAATGCGAAAGAGCAAAAGAAATGTTGAAACACGTGGTTGATGAGCGCACACTTCCGGGTTTACATCATAATGCTGCTGAGACCAGTGCAAGAGACAACTTCGCTTGTGGAGGGGTAAAACAAGATGGAGTGTCTCTGTGCACTGGTCAGCATGCTCAGCACAGCAATCTAGCCCTAAATCCCTAGGCTCCATCCCACTTTCGAAAACCAACGGCCGTGGGATAAACCCCTCCACGCCTAAAAAAAGTTGATATAGTAGGGAACATCAGGTAGAAATTTCAAAGCCCTAGCTCATTTACTCTCGAAACGGCAAGCAGTCACTCGTTGATCAAATGGAAAAAACGTTGAAGGGATTAAGGCTAGTATTGTAGATGCATAAACTCAGATGGAAATGTGCGCTCATCAACGGCATGTTCCAACGTTGATCTTCTCTTAATTTCGCATTTTATACGGAAAAAAGCCAACCTGCTTCGCTGATAAACTGTGAGTATAGAACTCGATAGAAATTAGTTTCTCTGATTAATTTTTTTCAGTAAATTTCGAATCAAATTTCTGGTAATTTTCTTTATTCGCTGTATTCTTTTGTTCGACTTTTATTATCAGTCGCTATTACGTGTATCGAAAAATGAGATAAAAGATACGTTAAATAAGATAAAAAATACAGTAGTTTGAAAAATCTCTGTTACTTGAGAGGTTAAGCGTCCACGTGGCGGCAGAAGAACACAGCACACACGTGCTCACGATATTTGAAATTTAGAAAAAGACATTTCTCCATTAAAAAAAATATTGAAAATTGTTTTTTTTTTTAAATATTGAATTGCTTAATAATGATATACATATGTTGTTAAACATTAATTTTTATTTTTAAACACTGAGCACACTATTATCTAATCTCAATTTCTTTTTTTACACGACAAATAATCAAGTGTTAGAGACCCTATAATAAGAGACTGACTATAAGATAGTCAGTTTTGATTGGTCCGCCAGTTTTGTCAAAAGCAAGAGAAACAGAAAGGAAAAGCAATATGAATGTATCTCGCAGGCTTTTGACAAAACTGGGCTTAATGGCCTTATCATTAAGGTCTCTAGTCAAGTATGATATTTTCAGATTACATTTATAAGCATTACGCATACATTGTGTATGTATATGTACATACAAAAATTGGTTTTTCCGAATTTTGACTCTAAATAACTCCCGAATGAGTCAACGTATCGATCTCTAACTTGCGCCAAAATTTTTCTTATTTTATGCCCTTTCAACGGATATACTACAATATAGGGGGTTCTATTTAAATAATTGAAGGTGACCTTTACGTGACCTTCAAGCAACTATTCAAAGTCAAACTAATGACACCATCTTATGTGCCCCTCGAAACCGTACAACTTTTGTCCGAAACATTTTTGATAAAAATGCTTCGTTGAAGAATTATCGAGGTGCGTTTTTAAAAATGGGACACCCTGTATATATACACATATATAAATCACGATATTTATAATAAATATATAAATACATATATCTATTACATGAGAAATAAAAAAATGTTATAAAAATATAAATAATCACAAATTAAAATATATGAAATAATATTTATTATCAATTTATTCTGTTATAAAAACTGATAGAATAGTAAAGAAATTTTTGAGTTTAACTGACATACTTTAAATTTTATGTATGTACATAATATTTTATAATAGAAGTACAATTTGTTAATAAAAAAGTTAAAAAAGTAGTTTAGGTGAAAATTAATGTTTTCAGAAATAGATACCTTATATATTATTCTCTACAGAAATATATATTACTCTCTGAAGAGAATAATATATTGTTCTGCAGAACAAGATTTGTTTTGTTAATTGAAATCTTTCTCTACAAGGGCTACATTCTAATATTCACTGCCAGTACCAAAAATCTATAATTTACATTACTTACATATGCAAATAAAAATGACAGTACTAGTATAATGTGAATGGACGCAAGTTAAACTTATATTATATAATCATTATGCTATAATTATAAATACATGACATTTTATTTTTTTTAACATGTGTTAAAAACAAGAATTTTTTTCTATATCTATGTATACATTTTTTTTAGAGAGCAAATATGACATCCCATTATCAACCATTATTCCGCGAGGATTGTAACCGATATCCCTATATCGGCAGAGTATCCGTAGAAGAGAAAAATAGTACTGACTTTATCTATCAATTTGTGAAAAACAGATATACTTATATGTACGAGAATATTAGCATATATGTTACTGCTCCTGACATAATTGGACCACCCAAATTTTCAAACTATGGAGAACTGGTTCATTTACCATTTTTCATTGGAAGAAAATTGGTATGTGTATTTCCTGACATTATTTGTTATTGTCTTGTAGAAAGTAATCGCAATTTAAACTTGCAAAAGTTTATGTTTATAATACTTGACACTTTTTGACTTTTCAATTCAGAGAACTAATAAAGGTGTCGATATCTCAACATCTCCGTGGCAAAACAAAGAACCTATGAGACAGCTTGATTTTATATATTGCAGCGCGTATTCGAGTGATTCGAGTGATTCGAGTGATTCGAGTGATTCGAGTGAT